CCATCAGATGCATTTTGAAGAGAGATACAAGAGTTTTGTTGTAAGTCAGTATTTATTATACATTGTTAATTACCTTTATGACTAGATAAACATGACACATTTTAGATGTTAAAATGTGTGAGAGTATGAGTTTTACAAAAAAAAAATTATGTGTAAGATCTTAGTTTTGTAAACATGGCTAAAGACTTGGACAAGTAACAACCTTTGAAATTGAGTTTCCTAAACTATATATATATATATATATATATATATATATATATATATATATATATTTTTAAATGTTTATTTTTTAGTTTTCAGCGGACACATCTTTGTTTGTATGTGGTGCTGAGGATTGAACCCGGGCCGCACGCATGCCATGCGAGCGCACTACCGCTTGAGCCACATCCCCAGCCCGAGTTTCCTAAACTATAAAATGAGGATATTATTCATTTTACTTCAAGATTAAAATGTTAAAATTATATATATCAAATGTAGAATATATTATATATAATATAGAAAATGTATCTTGGAGGCTATTCATTCTACTTCAGAATTTTATATATGTATGAAATACATATAGAATAGAATAGATTATGTTACACATAATTACATACAAACTATAAAACAATACAATTGTAAATTACATGACAACCTACATAAGGAAATATTAAATTTATGAGAGTCTGGAAATTTAACACCTCCCAATTTTGAGTCATTTTTACATAAAATTAACAGACCAACAAAGATACCATATGACAGATCAAAGCTATTAAGACATGAAAATCTGATTCTGATGTACTTGCAGAAACTATAAATTAACTTGAACATATAAATAATGAAATTCTTCATGTGCCACAGTTAAGATTAAACTTAGCCAAATATGGGAGGGTATTCAATTTGGGAGCTAAGATATTAAAATGTTCAATTAAAAAAGTAACAGGGGAATATAAGGAATTCTATGGAGAATCATTCTTTACACACTCTTACCTTTAGAGGATACTTGATTTGCAAATTGTTACCTTCATAATAAGTATTTGGTAACATAAATGTTAAATCCAGCAGCAAAGTCATGAAAGTAGGAAGAGAAACACACCCATTTTCTATGCCTATTATATACCCCATCTACAGTTACCAACAGTTCCATTTAGATGGAACCAAATATATTCCCCAGGCAAAAGAAGCATACAATAAACCTGTCATCTTAGAACAAAAAGATAATTTCAGTAAGTATATATTTCATAATCTAATAATCAGTTAAAATATGTATTTCATAATTCTACCTAAAGATTTAAGCTTGATCACTTAGCTAAATAATTTGGTAAACAAGCTAATAATAAGCTATTTACAGCAAAACTGAACATATAGTTGTCTCTTAGTGACTGAATAGAATTAGTTTCAGGAGACAGACACAGACATACACACATACACAAACACATACACACACACACACGCACAGTGCCAAAATCCTAGGATGCTCATATCCCTTATACAAAATGGAATGTACTTGTACATAACATACACACATCCTCCTCTATACCTTAATCATCTCTAGATTACTTATAATACCTAACACAATTTAAATGCTATGTAAACAGTTGTTACACTGTTTTGTTAAAGGAATCATGACAAGGAAAAAATGTCTGTACATGTTCATTATAGACTCAATTCTTTTTCCAAATACTTAAGATCCATGGTTGAGTGAATCCACAGAAACAGAACCTTCAGGTACAGAGGGCTGAATAATGTTTTATTCTAATATCAAACTGAGAAATTTCTGATATTCTCAGTATTTCACCAATTTCCCCAATACAATTTGCATTTACAAAAATTCTGCTTAGCTAGATAATTTTGAAACCAGTTAGGTTCATTAAGCAAGATTAGTCTCCCAGCTTCCACAATGACAATTTTAAAGACATTTTTGCTTGTACCTATTGTCAGAGAGACAGCATATTTTGTTCTATGAGGCACATAGATGTAGAAGACATAATTCCTTTACACAAGGAAATTATTAGTTTAATACATGATACAGAAAAGTTAAAAATATTGTGAAGTAAATAACCACTAGATTCTATAAAATTTATAATTATCTAGTATTTCACCATTTCACTATATTTGCTTTATGTATATTTCATTTTTGGACATAACTATTAGTGTGCATCCATTAATCTATCATATGTTTAATGCATTTCAAAGAAAGCTGTAGACTTACATATACTTCACTGCCTAAACTCTTTAATATACATATAACTAGGGTTTAAACATTTTATGGTGTTAGATAAAATTTATATAACATGAAATGGATGAATCTTAAGTGTACCATTTGCAGATTTTGACAAACACATACACCTCTGAAAATGAAACCCCTATCCAGTCAATCCCCATGCAACTCTCACACCCAGAGGGAACTACAGATAGTACTTTTTCCTACCATAGATTAGTTTTGCAAATAATCATTTTTAAATTTAAAACAGTGATAATCAGGCTAAGGAACCACAAGACTTCATGTAGATGGACCAATGAAGTAAATATAGCAAAATGCTTAACAACTGTAGAATAGGTGGTGAGCATATGGTTATCAATTTATCTCTTAGTTCTAAATCTACCTTTCTTTGCCCTGCTTTGTGCCATCCTACAAACATTTCTCCTTGGCCAGCTCCAGGGCAATGGAGTGATGCTGCCAGGTAAAAGAAGCAGGGAGATACTTTCCTTCCAAATTCTGGAACTCCATTATAACTCCATTATTATTATTATTCAGCACAGGAACCCCAAAGCCATGCTGAGAAGACAAGCTCCAGCAGTAGCCTCAGGCCCCAGTCTTCTCAAAGACAGAGGGCACTTCTATACATCATGTAAACATGGACATGACCTTTTTGAAGAGGGGCCCTATCCTAGTCTTTCTTCCTCATCCTAGAAGTCACAGCTGCTCTTTATCACCTCTTTTATTCATACTTCCTTTTTATTCTCTTCTGTAGTTGGCCATCCCACCTAATCTAGTTTAAAATTTATCATGACTTTCCAATAACTCAAACTACTATAAAGAGTATTCACGGTTTAGCTTTTCTGAATGCTTGAAAATGTTGGGAAAGAGGAAGAGAAAGGAAGATTTTCAAAAAACGTAGGGTGGAGGTTGCAGGTCAGTGGTAAAAGCTCATGCTTAGCACGCTCCCAAGGATTGGCCCTGCATTCAATTCCCAGCACCAGAGAGAGAGAGAGAGAGAGAGAGAGAGAGAGAAAGAGAGAGAGAGAAATAAAAGAAAGGAAGAAAGGAAGGAAGGAAGGCAAAATGGTAATAATTAATGAAGCAGAACAGTGGATTCAGAAAATTATATTACCTTTATTTTGTGTATGCTTGAATTTTTTTCCATGAAGGCGTCACAAAGGTCAAAGTATTTGAAAAGCGCCTGGTGGAATGAATTTTAATAGGCAGAAATGTAGGATAAGATTGCAGTTGAGGAAAAAGCACACATAAAATATGGAGGCAGAAAAGTAGAGTATATTTTCAGGCAATAGCAGGTAGTTTGACTAAAGTTCAATGTGTGTAATGGCAATGAATATGTTTAGAGAATTTTTCTCCTCTCCTTTTTAAACAAAAATTATGGGGAGCGGGGAGGATAGTGATGTTTTGGACTGAGCTCCTGCACTAGACCCTAACTGATCAAACCCACTTATTCTAAACACACAATCAAACTGAAACTTTAAGGAAGCAGACAGATTCCAAAACAGACGAGTTTTTCCTGAAAACAGGAGATTTCAGTCTATGAATCAGACTAATAACCCTTACAAAAAAGTAAGTTCTTCATCTAACCAGTCATTTCTACCCTACAGTTTGAAATCTGGTAATCTCATCCACAACCAACATCATAGAACTGGAGCAAGTCATGTTATTTGTTTCAAAGAGGGTTATACTTCCGTACACAGTAGGAAATACCGTAAAACAATAGAAATAATGCTTATTAGAAAAATCAAGTGGACCTAATAAGTAGTTTAGACATACCCCTGAAATACCAGACTAGAAACAAATTTGGGAATTTTTAAAACAGAGGTAGCATTTGAAGTGATACAACTCATGAATGAGTTCACTTAAGGATTAAGTGTGTAGACAGAGAAGAAAACAGGCACTCCAAAGTTAAGAGATCAGAGCTTTAAAAAAAAAAAAAAAAACCTTGGAAGGACTGAGAAAGGGCAATCAGTAACACAAGAGGAAAATCAGAAAAGTATGTTATCTGAAAACTGAATGAATACAGTGATTCAAAGAGGAGACATGTAAATATGATAAATGCTATTGAAGGATCACCTAGGAAAGCACGGCTTTATATTTCTTTCCCCCGAATAGTAAATCTTTCAAAAATGAAATGGAGAAAAATAGAAAGATATCACTTGGCACTCATTTACCAGCGATAAAACTCAGAAGTTATACCAATGTTATCCAATAAAGATATTTTATTCATTTTGTTGGGAATACTATGGCAGAGCAGCACACCTTCCTTTCAATATCCCCACGAAACAAGCTTTCAGACAGCCCTGAATGTCTTATGGGCAGCTTTACTTTTAAATAAAAACCTACCTCTTAAATGTTCTAACAGCTGATATTCTACCTGAAACAACTAGTGTCTCCCATTCAGCTGCCACTCTTTCCTCAGATATGCAGATTTGGCATAATTTTAAGGGATAAAGTGATGTAAAGTGCATCTAGTTGCTAAAGGGTGAAAGTGTCAACGTTCAAGGAGGGCAAAGAAAGATCCGTGGAATGCAAGTTGCTGGGAAGAGGGGCTCACCTCCCACAAAGACTCAATAAATATTTTTGATTTAACTTTGGAAGAGCTACGTTTTATAGCGGAGATAGGGCGCAAACTCTAAGACACTATTCACTCCAGAATACGGTAGCATTTCCACCCGCGAGCTTCAGGGTACCCTCTGGGTGTAGCTGCACCCCAGAGAAAGCAATACTGGATGGCGCACAGCAGCATTCTGGGCGCTAAAGTAAAAAGAAAATTTCTCACTTTGAGGCCAGGGCTCACCTGACTCCGGAGTGCTGAAAACGTGCAGTCCTAAGTCGCCTGGGAGGGGGCGTCCCCACAAACTTTCTCCTCGTCACCGGACGCCACCCAAGGTACAGGACTCCCAGCAAAGTGAGGGAGGACCGAGGAGGGCGCGGTGTTCGCTCTAGGTCTCGGGGGTCTGGGAGCCTTAGCTTCCACAGTTCGCTCAGGTACTCCCGCCTCGTCGCCTAGCAACCTGAGAAGCTATCTGGTCTTCCAGACATTTCCAACGCCCCCGCCCCTCCGGAGCGTGTACAATGTTTTTAAAAAGGTTTTGTTTCCGGGTCGAGCCGGCTTTACGCAGCGGAAGGCCTCTGTACCGCCCACGTTTAGCCTCAGCAGGGGCTAAGGTCTCAGTAGCGCGCGTGTGGGTGTTGTCGCTAAGAGTCTGTCTCTCCTCCCTCCAGTCACACACGCCTTCCCTCCCGCCAATTGTAGAGTGCCACAGGCCGTCTTTTCCCCTCCGGAGCTCAAACCCTCCGCTCATAATCATCCTCCAATCAGAAGCTCCCCGTCAGGGACTACTTTACAACCGGCTAAGAGCGCAAGGAGAAGGACGTGAACAGACCCTCTGGTTTCGGGAAGTGTAGTTCAACACTAAGGAAATGCTTCGGAGGTTGGGCCAGAGCAGAGTTAGCGAGAACTACGTTTCCCAGAAGACGCCGCGGCCGCAGCCGAGCTTTTTCAGGCCGCCACCGCACGCCCTCCTGGTGTCGATTCCGCGGTGGAGGTGACCTGACTCCTTGCAGCTCGTTTTGCAGGTGCAGGAATTGTCCGCGCAGTTTTCAATCATGGTGAGTGTGGGCCCGGGTTCCTGCCCGTGTCTAGCCTTTGCACCCTTGTATGGGGTTTCTTGCGCTTGACGGACTTTTGCAGCCATGCAAGTCGCTGTCTTTAGCGCCGTTTGTAACGCCCTGACTTTTATTTGGGGATTGACGCAGTATTCCAGTAATTGGGAAGGGGTTGATATGCACCTGGGGGCCTCTTCAAAGGGCTCTGGAGATATCACTGTCCTTGGAGAGGCGCGATCTCGATCCTGCTGCTTGCCGAGGGGATGGAATTCAAGTTCTGATTTTCTCTGAAGAATTATGTAGAGCTTGATAAGGACGATGGGGTTTGATGGAAAGGAGGAGTTAGTTGAATCCTAACCTCTTTTTCTCCCTCCCTCTCTTCTCTCTCTCTCTCTCTCTCTCTCTCTCTCCTCTCTCCTCTCTTTTCTCTCTCTTCTCTCTCGTCCCAAAGTATTTAAGGGCTTCAATCACAAAGCCCTTGAAAGCAAAAGGCCTTCGACTGTTAAGGCAGGATTTCACCAGGTGCTCCAGATTACGATCTACGTTTTCAGGAGACGTGTTGCCGCCATATCTAATTTCTCAAAATGTTAAAACCTGTCATTGATGTCCGTTATAATGCCAGAGCTCGTTTGCATCACTAGCCAAATAACTAGTGCAGATATTCTTTACTGTTCTGTTATGGATTCCAGAAGCACTGCATTTAAATGTAATACAATGTAACCATCTTGTCATTGAAAACGTGCACCCTAGGTCTCCATATCTTGTCTCTGCTGAAGGGGGAGGCGGGGCGAGGAAACTGACGTAGGAATAATCTGCGCACTGTTTGAAGGTGACATTTGCCATCAGATGGAGGGAAGTTGCTTCAGTGTTTGTATTTTTATATTTGGAAATATTTTTCCCATTTATCTCAAAATATGAAAATGAGTGGAGAGTGTGAGGAAATGTTTGCGTGAATTGGAAATTTCCCAGAACCTGAAAATACATGTTTTCAGGCAAGGGCACATTACTCCTTCCATCTCTTTAAGGTGATTGGGGACCACTACTAATTCCAAATAAGTGTTTCCTTATTATTTTGTCATATGACATTATTACTCATTTAAGTTATGATTTCAGTAGTTTCTATATTAATTATTTTAGCAAGGAAGCAGAGGTACTTATTATCAGAGTACTTCCGGACTTTGTCACTTTAGAACTGGATGAAGCCTTTTAAAGGTCATCTTGACAAACATCCCCGCTTAATATATTTAAATTGAGTTTATTAAGACCCAGAGAGAACATGACTTGTCAAGGTCACACAACAATTTGCATTAAGGGTCTCTCCTTTTTACCATTATTGTGTCATATACTTACCAAGTCATTCTAAAAATTTATTTTTAGTGCTGAGATTCTAGATGAAGATACAATCATATTGTGAATATAAACACAAGTGTATTATCAACATGTGGATGACCTAAAAGCTTTATTCCTTAGAATTCTAAAATTGGAAAGGAATTGAAGATTATTTTCGTTTAATCTTAAAATGTAGCCTGGTGAGGTCAAATGACTTTTGCAAGGTCACAGAGAAATCCAAGGCCCCTATTCTTGTTTTGTTTTTGTTGCACAGTAGACTGAGCCAGGCCTCACCCTTGGAAGGTCACTGGGGTGCCAGAGATAGTTCATGAGGAAGAATTCTGTCAGTTTGTTGTCTCACATGACTTAGGATCTTCCCAACTCAGAAAGCATGTGAACAATCACTGATTTAGAAAAGAGCCATATTTTGTAATCCAATTCAAAGCAAAATTGTTTTTTGTAGTTGTAGATGGACAGAATGCCTTTATTTTATTTGTTTATTTTTATATGGTGCCAAGGATCTAAGCCAGTGCCTTACATATGCTAGGCAAGTGCACTGTCACTGAGCTACAGCCTCAGCCCATCAAAGCAAATTTTAAAGGAGGAAATTCTTTGCTTGTGTCAATAGGGAGTAACAGCAAGAATAACTGAAGGAATCTGAATGGGACTGCTTCTCTTTCACATTACAGAATCTATGTAAATTAGAAATACATGCAAACTAGGGAGTAAAAAAAAAGAATACATGTTTTTTCCATGAAATAACAGAAAAAACACTTAAATTCAAGTTTCATAACTGAGATTTTAGCACATTCTCAAGAGAGAACCTGGTTTGCAAGAAGGTTATTAGTGCCCTGCCAAGAGCAAAGACATTCCTTCATGGATCTTGGCAGACTGCCCAGATAGCTGAGCAAAGAATAGCCACCTATGTTCACTCTGTAACAGTGTGAGAAGTCAGCGGGTTCGCCTACCTTCCCACTTGTCAGTTGTAATGTTGCAGAAGAAGAGTAAGAACCAAATATGTGCTTGCTTTACCCAGTTATCATCAAACATCCAGACTACATAGGTTTCATACTACTGTTAACAAGGTGAAGTTGCCTACCTGTGAAAATAATTTGCCCAAAGAGAAGGAAACTCCTGCGGTGAAATGAGCTGTTCATTAGTTGGCCACAACCCTTTTAGTAAGGACTGTGATTAATTCCTAAAATTGGCTGCATTATTCTGTTTTGCCATCTGCCTGACTTTCTAGGAGAATGAACTCTTTATTATCCCAACTTGCTTTCCATTGAAGTAGCATATATTTATATTTTTCTTTACCCTTACTTTCATTCTTTCACATTATATTAGAGTGCAAATTTGAGTCAAACACATACTGCTCTTAAGGGGGCTTCAAGGTCTAGTAGAGTGTAGCAAATATGTAAATAGAAGACCACAGACTATAAGAATTCTTAGAGGAAAATTTTGTGGTGGCAGAGCCCTATAAGCCCAAAGAGGTTAAGTAACTTGCACAAGAGCATACAGCTAATGAGTTGTGGAGCCAGGACTTGAGTCCAGAAACTTTGGCTCCAGAGGCCATCTCTTAATTACTACTCTTTACTGCTTCTAGCTTTCTGTTTTAGAGAATTGGCTTATCCCCTTTCTAAATTCAGATGGTTGTTAATGGATCCCTTGCCTACAATAGTAGCAAGTACATGATAGGGATTCAATGATATTGTTTAGTGAATTAATTAAATAAGTTTTTCACTTGATTGATAAGACACATTAGAACTAGTGGCTTAAGTAGTTTCACTCACTATAGCTGAAACTTATGGTCCTTAAGTTTCTAGCCTTCTCAAAGCAAGTATGTGAGAATAAAATATCTTTTAATATGTTTTTAAAGCATGTTTGATATGCTTCCAAATAATTCTTATAGATTTCTATCATTTTGGTAGTTCTTTTACAAATATTTGAGCTCCAACTACATGCCAGATATTCTAATTAGTTAGGATATAACAGTAAATATAGTAGACAAAAAAAATGACAATGTAAATGAAATAGACAAACCCCCAGCTTTAAGGAACTTGCATTATAAAGGGGCAGGAGGGAATTATTTCTTCCTCTTTCATTTTTTTATCTACTTTACTTGACTTGAAGGAAGAGGGGGAAAATGATAAAATGAAAAAAATATATATATATAAGCTTTTAATAATTTTTCTGCAAATAGCAATAGTCTTTACTATTTATCCTAGTAATGTCATTACTATTATCCTAGTAATGACAGATCAGCAAAAAAATATTTTGTGTCATGTTTATCAAAATGATTAATTTAAGAGATTATTATATTTGTATATTTAGAGATATGAAAGTCGGGGGGGAAAGTTAGTAAAAAAGGCAGGGAAAAGACCCAGATAAACAGGGAAAAATCTTTCTACTTTATCCTTAGTGTGTTTTCCTTCTCTCTCTCTCCCTCTCTGCCTTCCTCTCTTCCTCTTTTTTCCTACTTGTGTCTGGTTATTTCTCTGTATAGCCTACTATGATCAGTTTCATTTCTCTTCAAGAGTATACACTTTCCTGAACTTTTCCTTTGGCTTCTGTGGGTACCATGTGACTGAGCACTGCTGACCTTCAGATCTCACAGTTAAGGTTAAGGATCCTTCAAACATCATCCATCCTCTTTCCATCTCAGACATGTGACTAATCTGGAATTTTAAATAAAAAGAAATCAAATGCTTCTTCTGCCCTAAGTCAATTCCATAAGCCACTTCTCCATGCAGGTACGGTTAGGGTGACAAGGAGTAGAAGTGGATTTACCCAGCATTGTCAGGGGAAAAAAAATAGTCACCTTGATTCTACTTCTTTAATTCTCTGGGCATAATTTACCTTTATTTTTTAATGACTTTGGGTTTATCAATATCGGTTATTATTTTTGTCCATGTGTCTTATTATATTCAGGTTTTATTGAAACCTATAAGGCTACTTGTCTCTATTATAACTGTTGTACTCTTTGTATACTTACTCTCTCCTTCCTTTTAAATGTAATTTTTCCTTTAGAATCAGGTTGTCAACAGTCAGCACATGTTGCCATTGTCTTTTATTCCTGTTTAGTATTAAAATTTATTTAGTCCAGATACTATCATATTCTCTTTTTTCTCCTTTAATTAAAAAAAGGCTTATTTTTCCTCCTACATCTAATTAAGTTGAAACATAAATGTCTTATTAAATATTTTGACTCAATGTAAATGGAAAGTTTTGACCACTGTTTCTGTTCTTCCTTGTGTGAAGAATTCTACTAAGCAGATGGGAGTGGGAGATTTGCATAATAAGGTTTTGAAAGGCTCTTGCCAGCCAGGGTTTGTATCACCACATACATACTGCACACACTGACGTTGTTAGGCCTATTTTAGTGGTAACATATCAAAAAAAAAAAAAAAAGGATAGGATTATGTAAGTAAATACAGGCTAACACTTTGTGTTCCCTATACAGAGAGAGTTAAATAACACCACATCAACCCAGCCAAAGACACATGTTCTGGAAATTTCTCAGTTGATTTGTGTGTGTTATATTTACTGAAACAAGCCAATAAGCTAATTTTCTACTAAACCTGGTGTGAAGAGACTTATAACTTATATGGGTCTTTTTCATTGCAGTCTGAACCAATTAGAGTCCTTGTGACTGGAGCAGCTGGTCAAATTGCTTATTCACTGTTGTACAGTATTGGAAATGGATCTGTCTTTGGTAAAGACCAGGTAGGGGCATGTTTATAAATCTTGGCATTAGAGTAAGACTGTTGTTAATAAAATCCTGTATTTAGTTGCAAACAAATTATAAAATGGTAAAGAAATGAATAGTCCCAATAAATGTAAAAGGTGCATTGCTATAAACTGAAGCTGGTAAAGTATTTATAGGCATCCCTGTAGACAGTGAAAATAGTTTGCAAATCAGTTTACTTTGCAAAATAGTTTCCTTTGTACTGTATTTAGTTAACCTGGTGCAACCAGCAGGTGCTAGTCAATATAGGATATCACTAAGGATAGTAACTGCTTAGTTGGAGCTCTGTGAGAAGGTTGCTGAATCAGCACTTCCTTGTTCATAAATGGTCTTCTTTTGAACCAAAATAGACAGAAAATCTGCTTCTAAATTGGAAGCAGACACCCTAATTCTAGCAAATCTGATAAATACACTAAAATATTTTTTCTCACTCACAGATACTGAGCTCTTCCCTCATGTCAGATATTATACTTAGTAACCATGAAATCAAATATACAACTATTAACAATAGGAGCAAGCTGTGAGACTCCTTTTATGTACTTTTTAAAAATTCATTATAGATGATTACTTTTTGCTGTTTCTGTTACCAAATAATAGCTGGTTTTATGGCCTTTCTTATTCTCAAAGTGGCAGTGTTAGAAAACTGAGCTCCTAATGTAATTACTATGGCTAATGAATAAAACTTTTATACATACACACACAAACAAAAACTTTGAAAGGGCTTTTTGTGACTAAATAATAAAAACCTACACTGACGAATGCTGTCCTTGCTGTTTGGCAGCCTATCATTCTTGTGCTGCTGGATGTCACTCCCATGATGAGTGTTCTCAATGGTGTCCTAATGGAACTGCAAGACTGTGCCCTTCCCCTCCTGAAAGGTGAGTTAGAAAGTCAGCTTTAACCTGCATAATCCCAGCTACTCAGAAGACTGAGTAGACTTAGAAGACTCAGAAGACTGAGGCAGGAGAACCACTGGTTCAGGGCCACTCTAGGCAATTTAGCAAGACCCTCAAATTTTTAAAAAAAATATATTTTTAAAGGTCTGGAGCTATAGCTCAGTGGTAGAGCCCCTGTGTTCAATCCCCAGTTCCACAAAAGGAAATGAAAAAGGGTATTATATGTCTTAACAAAAATAGATTTTATATTTTTGCTGAAGAGACTTAATTAGAAATTATTTCATGAAAGTATTTCATTTTGTTTTCTGAACTATAGATTTGGAGGGGGAGGATACTAGGGATCAAAGCCAGGGCCTCATGCATGCTGGGCAGGCACTCACCATGAGCTATACCCCAACCCAAGCTATAACTACTTTTTAACATGTACACAATAGTAAGTAAGGGTAAAAGTGAGAAACAATTTGTCAAGTAAAAAGCTACTTTTTCTTCAACATGTCTATATATAATTTATTATTATTATACTAATTAGGCATAATATCACACAAGAATTACATATACCTGAGATTATCTACATTGTGTTGTGATATAATGTCTATTTAAATGCTAATAGTCACACCTCCTTAATGGAAAACTAATTCTGAAGCATATCCTCCAGAGCCATACACTGCCTTGAAAATTAGTTGATCCCACATATATGGTCCTGTTCCATCTGCCCATTGTCAGGTTGAGACATAGTATAAATTGTCCTAATCATATACTACACAGTTTGTAAAAACCCACAGGAGTTCACCTTAGAGAATTATTGAACATTACTCATAAGACAGAAGTCTTAAATCTGATTGAAAAGTTTGTTAAAATATCAGGTCAGATTATAAACTAATTTAAATATTTTTCTTTAACTATATCTCCATTATAGTCTTTTTCTTTTCATAAAGATTAATGATACTGGGGCTGGGGTTGTGGCTCAGTGGCAGAGCGCTTGCCTCGCACATGTGAGGCATTGGGTTCAATGCACATAAAAGTAAACAAACATTGTATAACTAAAAAAATTTTTTAAAAAAGATTAGTGATACTCAGAAGTTTGCACAAAACAAAATATATACACATCCCTAAAAAGAAGCCTTCTTAATATTCATGTATCTCTTCAGTAGACATATACTAAAATTGATACTCTACCATCAAAATTGTTTGGTTGCATGGTTCTGTAAAAGAATACATGATTGGGCTTTTCTGCTGGTTCCCTTTCCTTACCTACAATTTTTTTTGTAGAAACCAGCTTTTTTGCTGGTTCCCTTCTTACCTACAATTTTTTCCAAATCAGCTTCTTCTTTTGCTGTTTCCCATTTGCATTCCCTTTTCTGCTGAGTTCCCTCTGCTCTGTAATGGGCCCAGTTTGTTCTCTGAAAGGTATAAATATAACAGGGAACATTCTGCAAATGAGAATGTGTGGCTGGGAAGGGGAAGCTGGGTATTTTTTCTAACTTGTCTTCCTGCATGTGCCCATTCGGGGACTTACAGTCCAACTGACACCAGTCCACTGGCCTAAAAATTTACCAAAGGAAATGCCAAATCTCAGTCATGACCTTTCTAATACAATCAACAAAGGAAAGGAAAGATACATGTTCTTCCATCAAAAAGCAAATCGTATATGTTTATTGAACTGACACTGTAGCATGGTCTAGACTGACATAGGTGGGAATTATAGCCTTCCTCACTATCTTAACATGGTGACTAACTAGTCTCTTTAAAGCTCAGTGTTTTCATCTCTAAAATGAGAAGACTAAATTTTGATAATATAAATTTCCTAGCACAATACTCCTTGATTAACATTAACTTTTTTTAATTCATAATTCGTATCCTAGATCTTGAGGTAATTATAATTTAAAGGTTAGTGCATTAGTTGCTCTTTTGTTATCTCTGTTAATAAGTGCAAATAATAAATGTTGCTTCAGAAGTTATGTTATACCTTATATCATATGTGACTAAAAAAATAATAGGTATAGAAGATTTAAAGTTGAATTAATTATTGGAAATAGGAAAAGCAAAGTAAATTTATTAACATTTTTGCCATGTTAAGGTGATTATATTAATATGTTGTCTTTCTTGACCCCTACAAGTTGTATCAATGTGATATGAATAAATAAACATTGCTATTTGTTTTCACTTTGGTGACAGAATAAGTAGATTTAGTATGAAAAAGAAAATTTCAGACTTGAGTATTTAAGTAGCTTAGCCTATTGTTTGCCGTGTGCACAGATGTCATTGCAACTGATGAAGAAGAGGTTGCCTTCAAAGACCTGGATGTTGCTGTTCTTGTGGGCTCCATGCCAAGAAGGGAAGGCATGGAGAGGAAAGATTTACTGAAAGCAAATGTGAAAATCTTCAAAAGCCAGGGTGCAGCCTTGGAGAAATATGCTAAGAAGTCAGTTAAGGTGAGTTAAAGTAACCAACATGTATTTCATTGGGTTTTTCAAAAAGGTATAAGAAAATTTATTTAAACAAAAAGAAAAAAAAAATTTTGAGGCAGGAGGAGTACAAGTTCCAAGCCAGCCTCAGCAGCTTAGCAAGACCCTATCTCAAACTAAAAAAATAAAAAGGTCTTGGCTGAAGTTGTGGCTTAATGGTAGAGCACTTGCCTAGCATGTGTGAGGCACTGGGTTCAATTTTCAGCACCACATATAAATAAATGAATAAAATAAAGGTCCACCAATATATATTAAAAAAAAATTTTTTAATAAATTAATTTTAAAAAAATAATAAAATGGTCTGGGGATATAAGCACAGTGGTAAAGCACTCCTGGGTTCAATCCCTAATATCAAAAAAGAAGAAAAATTTTTCAAGATGGCAAATAAAATGTCCTATCTGTGACACTTCATAGGTGTCTGCATTTTTGTTTGATACAGATTTTTATTTGAAATAGTTAACAGAAAATGATAGAAATGAATTGGATAGAAATCCTCAGTACTCTTAGTAAAAGATAAAGATTGTTCAGGCTGCTTAAATCCAGGCTGCTTTGGATTTGTGGTATTGTTTGCATAGTAATTCCATCTCTGCAAAGTGTCCTTGTTTGGGGAAGGTATTCACTGGCACTGGAGTACTTGGGGACCATGGAGCATCTTAACTGAACCTTGTTCTCAAAAGGACCAAAAAAAGATTACAGTTTATGTGTAGAAAGAGAGTCTTAAAGATGGAGCAAATTGGAGAATCTGAATAAAGGGGTTATGGGAGTCTATCCTTTTAATAGGCTTGCAGCTTTTCTGTAATTCAAAATAAAGTTTCTTTTTTTTTTAATTTTTTTTTCAGTTGTAGATGGACACAATATCTTTCTTTATGTGGTGTTAAAGACTGAACTCAGGGCCTTATGCGTAAGATTCTTATCACTAAAAACCCATATATACATTTTCCTGTGCTGTAATTCAGTGTTGACTAAACCTCCCCAATATAAAAAAAATAGCCTGAAGCATTTTCTCCTGAAGACTGATTCAGTAGATCTAGGAGAGGGAAAAGGATGATAATCTGTATTTTAGCAAATAGCCCAAGCAATTCTTAGAATTGGGCAGATTTAGGGAATAATTACTTTCAGTTCATGGAGACAAATTGTTTTCTTAAAATAAACTCAAAAAGAAGGAAAATGTTATGAATGAATCAAACTCTGAAATGGGGTCTTACTTTACATAGTTTTTATAGTAAGTTAAATAAATTCTGTGTCTGTTTTCACACAAAAACAAAATAGAAAGAAATGCACCTTAAGTCTTGGACATTGCCAAATAGAAAGTGACTTATATACATAACAGTGGCTCTATCAAAAAAAAAAAAAAAGTTTTCAGTAGTCACACCAAACACTAACAAGTCAAAATGCTTTCAAAGGGATGATACAAACTACAATGATAATTATGTATATTTAGTTCATTTGGGCTTGATATACAAACTACCAGTTAACACATTTCAGTGGAATTCTAAGATAGTTTAATAAGTATACATTCCATAACTCTTCTCTGTCATCCTAGGTCATCGTTGTGGGAAACCCAGCAAATACCAATTGCCTGACTGCCGCTAAGTCAGCTCCATCCATCCCCAAGGAGAACTTCAGTTGCTTAACTCGTTTGGATCATAACCGAGCTAAATCTCAAGTGAGAAAAATGTCTTTTAAATTTATGAATTTTAGATTTAAAACCATTTTCTTTCATTTTTAAAATAACTGAATCTTAGTTTGTACTTTTGTTGTTTTTTGATGTTGTTGTTGTTTAGTAGTTATTAAAGTTAAATTATTATTAAATTTGTTAGGAAGCCTATTCTCTTAAAAACTATTTCAGTTGCTAACTACATTTAAATAGTTAAAATTTCAAGTAGTAGTTAAAAATTAGTTATTAGGGCTGGGGTTGTGGCTCAGTGGTAGAGTGCTTGCCTAGCACATGTGTGACCTTGGGTTCGATTCTCAGCACTGCATATAAATAAATAAAATAAAGGTCTATTGACAACTAAAAAAAATATTTTTTAAAAAATTAATTACTAGTATAAATAATTACCCCATGATGATACATAATTTAGTTTAATTTTGTCAGATACATAAGAGATCATTTTAAAAACTCAAGTTTTCTTTTTTTTTTAATTTATTTTTTAGGTGTAGATGGACACAACACAATACCTTTATTTTTATGTGGTGATGAGGATCGAACCTGGGCCCCACCCGTGCTAGGCAAGCGCTCTACCACTGAGCCCCAATCCCAGCCCCTCAAGTTTTATGTAGTTGTGTGATTCTCCTTTCTTGGAGCTAAGCAATCACATTCACTTTTTTGCTTGTTTGGGGGTTTTTTGTTTGAGGTACTGGGAATTGAACCCAGGGGCGCTCTACCACTGAGCAACATCCCCAACCCTTTTTTCTTTCACTTTTATTATGAGACAGGGTCTCACCAAGTTTCAGAGCCTGGTCTTGAACTTGTGATCCTCCTGCCTCCACCTCCCAAGTTACAGACATGGGCTACCACACCCAGCCAAATTTTGATTTTAATTTTATATTTAATTTAGTTTTCGGTTTTATATCTTTCAAATATTGTGTGTCTGTGTGTTCCATAAAATTTCCTGCTTTTACTACATAGGAGCTAGATTTTAATTATTATTAATTTTCCTTACTCATTAGCACCTTGAATAAATTTGCCAAGGAGTGAGTGACCAGGAGATTAACAAAGCTTCAAAAAATTCAGAGCTAGGCCACTCATCCAAGCTAGTTTTCTCAGCTTCCTCGGATCTAACTGGTCCTGGTGCCCTTGGAAGTCATGATAAAAGTTGTAGTTCTCAGATATAGCCTCTGTCCTTTTTCTTATCACTTTTCTGGCCATCCTTCTTCATCCATCATTGCTAGATAGATCTATGAATGTAGTGCTTTTTCTTTATAGATGAAAACTTTATTTTGTTTTAAGCAAACTGTATTTATTAACCAGAAAATGGTGTGAGTTGAAAAACCACTGTCTTAAACTGACAGTTATCTTCCAGCTCTGGAATGCTTAGTGGAAAAGAAAAGAATTTACATTCGTAAAGTTTCTATTATAAGCTGAATGCTCTGCAAGTAATTTTTCATTGTTTCTTATAGTACCACAGAACTATCTATTATTATCCTTATTTTACAGGTAAAAGATTAGAGGCCCAGAGAACCTACTCAAAGTCATACAGCTAGTAAATGATAGAGTATCCTAGATTTGCCTGAGTCTAAATCAAACCCTTGTGCATGTTATTACATAATGATATCAAATGACTTACTAGCTCTGTGACCTTGAGAATGAATATTTAAGCTATAAAATAATTATATCTACCTCAGAGAATTGTTATGAGGATTGGATGAGAAAAGATCCATTTTAAGCCTTTAACATGGTACATGTCACGGAGTCAAATGTAGTAAAGGTTGACTGCTATTATTATTTATTTTGGTTTTATTATTAAAAGGGTTACAGCCTAAAGTTGAAAAGAGCCTCATCTTGGAAATAGCTCCCTCAACATTCTAGTTAATTAAGGAGGTCATTGGATAGCAAACTCGAAATACAAATATTCCATGAGAGGCCTTAAGCTGTTAGCAGGGTCTGGTGGCTGAAAAGAAATGGTAATTTGTGTGAATGACTAGTTGTAGGAGTCTTAAGTACAATGAAGTTATAAAGGAAAGGATGTATTGTAGTTGTACACTCCAGATTGCCAGGTGGTTACATAGTTTCTACAGAAAGGAAAAAGGTAAAATAATGACACTGGTAATCCCCTTTGCTGTTTCATCTGAGGCCTCAGTAGAAACAGATACTGGAAAATTCTGCTTCCAGGGATATTACTGAGTGAGACTTTGTCCCAGCTGCTGAACAGTTTTACTTGTGAGGGCAAAAGTCATGAATAAGCCAAGAGGGAAGAAGCTGTCTCATCAAACTTTAACCATCACTTTTGGCACACATTGTTATCCACAGGCTCTTGGTTAGCACGTCAGTCTGGCACAGCGGAAGGGAGATCTTAAGAAGTTTTTAAAGAAGCAGTTTCTTCCTCTTATAGAAGTTATACCCAATGAGAAAACAGCAAACCCAAAGATTATTTTTTTCTAACACGAATGGTTACTAGTCTTACATAATTTGTTTTGAAACTCAGAAGGCTTTGCTATCTGGTGACTATTTCTCACCTGCAGGACTCCCCTGTATACTTGCAAACCAGAGCTGTATGTGTCTGCTGACAAGGTAATTTGACAGTAATGCCAACTGGCTGGGATTAGGGGGAAGGAAATTACTAGGTCTGGAGATAACAGACCTATATAACAAATGCAAGTGTCTAAGGAAGCCAGGAGCTATTGTCCTGGGGAGATGTTAATTTAGACTAACTCTGGTATGAATGACATTCAGAAACAACACCCACTGGGTGCATAGTACCTGACCTTTGCTGGTTAGCTTTAAGTTAAAGGGAGCCAAGGAGGCCTATAGGGGGGAGAAGCTTAGGGGCTATTGAAGCTGACATTGAAGAGTTGAAGCTGCCATTTAAGGGGATTTGGTAAAAAGTATCTCAAGTTACATTTTTTCCAAATCAATATAATTCTGTGCTCTCCTGAAGTTTCAGAAACTTTTTATCTTAAAGACCTTTGTCAAACAGGCCACAATTTTAACTAAAAATAATTTGTCTAACCTTTCTGAGCTGTTAAATGGTGTGTTGTTTTTTTTTTTAATTCAACTAGATTGCTCTTAAACTTGGTGTAACTGCTGATGATGTAAAGAATGTCATTATCTGGGGAAACCATTCCTCAACTCAGTATCCAGATGTCAATCATGCTAAGGTGAAATTGCAAGGAAAGGAAGTTGGTGTTTATGAAGCTCTGAAAAATGACAGTTGGCTCAAGGGAGAATTTATTACGGTAAGAAAAATCTGAGAGTCCTCTTAACAGCCAGGCATAAAGAACTCTTGAGAAACACATCACATTGCTGTCCTTTGTGTCTCCAAGAAAAGGAAAGGGAATCCCTAAGGAGAGCAGGTCTTTCACAGTTGTTCTTAGGACTGCATACTTTCTTCTGGGATCCTACAAAGCCATGATCCAGTCTGATCTGATATGTTATATAGCAGTTGAGATTGATTGTCAAAATGGGAAAAACTATAGTACTCTCTAGTCATGTGTGTATAAAATGTGGTAAACAGTCTAGGGGAATTTGTACTTTTCTTTTTTCAGAAATATTGGTGTTTATACCAAATTAGGTTTATAAGGTCAACATAGGCAGTTGCATGATATTGGAGAGAACACATTAAGCAATGGTTGCAGCCTTAGATTAACTTGAAACTGATGAATATTTTGCTATTATGATCAAGTAACACTGTCACATCTGCCTGCCCCTGCACAGACTGTGCAACAGCGTGGTGCTGCTGTCATCAAGGCTCGGAAACTGTCCAGTGCAATGTCTGCTGCAAAAGCCATCTCTGACCACATCAGAGACATCTGGTTTGGAACCCCAGAGGTGAAGACCCAGTGATACTGTTGTGTGTGTGTGTGTATGTGTGTGTGTACATACATATGTGTATATGTGTGTGTGTGTGTGTGTGTATAAAATACATGTGTTTTTCATATATATATATATATATATATATATTTTTTTTTTTTTTTTTTTTTTTTTTTTTTTTTTTTTTTTTTAATCCCCTGATATTGTAATATAAAAGGAACGAGAGCCTTAGTGGTCAAGCTGGTTAGGTTCATTTCCCAGCTCAGCTGCCTTCTAACAGACTAACCTTGGGAAAATAATTTAACCTTTCTGAGCTGTTTTATCATCTGTTATATGACATTTACCTCACAGAATTATAAGGGTTAAACATGATAATATATAGAAAAACATTTTTCTTCAATATTGAACAATAGCTCCCTCATCTATAAAATAAGGATATGTTTTTCTGACCTACTTGACACATAATTTGGAAGAGTGGAATGAGATAATATCCATGAAAGTTCTCTTGTCGTGGAAGAACCTGGTGCTGATTCCTTATGTAGTAATGAAGTCAGGAACATAGTAAGAAAGTCACCTGGTTTAATTTTGTTAGTTCACATGTTGTTTGTGTAGACTAATCCTAGTGTGCCATGAAAATAGAAAACATTGTTTTTTGTGGGTTTTTTTTTTTTTTTTTTTTAGGGAGAATTTGTGTCCATGGGTGTTATCTCGGATGGCAACTCCTATGGTATTCCTGATGATCTGCTCTACTCATTCCCTGTTGTAATCAAGGTAGGGTCTTTGGGAGTTGTTTCCCTTCTATGTGAAAGTAGTTATATATGTTTTTCTCAAAATAGGTATAATTTGGCCTAGAAAGTTATTCCTTTAATAACCAAGTTATTCCTTTAATAACCAAGATTTTTTCTCCTCAACTTGAGTATTATATATATGACAACTTCAGGGCATTAAAAGATTGAAATTAATCTGAACAGCAAGAGTCAACTTTTACCACCAAGTGAATTATATTATCACACCTCTAATATCAGCTACCTACAAATCTTATGTTATTTCTAAATGAAGCAATGGTTTTCAGTATTGTTGCTCTTTATTATAACCATGGTAAAGTCAATAGTTAATTTTATAATTTTTTGAGATTAAATGGTTTTAAATTCAAGTGTTACCTTTTTATCAAAATGATCTGCTAATTTTAAGATTTGGATTCTGGGCTGGGGGTTTAGCTCAGAGATAGAGCACTTAGCATGCACAAAGCTTGGATTTGATCACAGCACTACAAAAAGAAAAAAAAGTTTGGATTCTGTTTTATTTCTTTGGAATCAGATTTTAAAACAAGTACACCTCCAGATATAAATTCAGACTAGGTTGTTGCTTGCTGGAAGATCAATTCTAGTTTGTTAATCTCTTATTTAAAATTATTTTCAAACAGAATAAGACCTGGAAATTTGTTGAAGGTCTCCCTATTAATGATTTCTCACGTGAGAAGATGGATCTTACTGCAAAGGAACTGACAGAAGAAAAAGAAACTGCTTTTGAATTTCTTTCCTCCGCATGACTAGACAATCATTTTGATTTCATTAAATGCCCCAAAACTGAGGAATCTAAATGTCGTCTTTGACTTTAGTACCAAATAATAATGATGTTATAGTTATACTTAAATTACTTGTGAAAAACACCACATTGTAAACATTATGTGCTTCTTGGTACAGATTTGTGAAGGTCTCATCATGCTATTAATGCTGCATTCTAAATAAAAATATATATGCAAGTGAAAGTGACTTGAGATTCTACTTTCTAGCTAATTTTAACATTCATAAAACCCAAGCTTGTATATTTCTCAGCTTCCTTAAGGGGTTGTGATTTTTTTTTTTTTTTAAACCAGGAAAAGATAATAAAGATGGGAAATAATACAAACTAAAGCACAAATCTCTTAGTTTTAAATAGAAAGGACAACTCACCTTGTGATAATGAATCAATCTGTTTTAGAATATATTTTTAAACGTGGTTACTGACTTTCATCAAACACTTATGTTTTTAAAACTTTAAAAGTTAGTTCATGTGTTGTGGATAATTTGATTTTAAAATTAGCTGATAAAATATTCTGTTAACAGTTTATGCCATTGGATGAAATTCGAACAGTCATTTTCATGATAGAAGAAAGTGACAGTAATAAATCTTCCCTGAGGTATTTCTCTTTAACAGAATAAGGAATTGACTTATATTTAATAACTAGTAAGTGCCACAGAAATGTGTGATAATGTCCACAGTTTAAGCTTATTACTAGAAAGTCATACAAATAGTCATTTGTTTTCCATTGAGAACAGAAGGCAGTATCTCATTTCATCCTTGTACTTAATCCATTTCCTACACTTAAGAGACACTCAATATATCATAAATCTCTCAGCCTGATGTGATAACCCTTCATGGATGTTGGTTAGATTTGATATTTTAAATTACTTATATCATTTTCTCATGATCTAGAAAAAACAATTGTATAAAAGTGCCTTCAGAACTACTATTAACTAGAAGTATAAAAACAAAATTTCACATAGAATGAATAAAATTTTGTTATAAATGTGTACCAGATATTCAGTTATTCTCTGTCAGTTCCAAACATATCCTTCAATATTCACGTGACGCTGGGACTGGGACTTTACAAACCACATTTCTTTTCTACTGCTCCTCGTTAAAAATCAGCCAAAAAAAGATACTAGAAGGCAGAGAGAGGAAGAAAAAATGCTCTTGCTCCTTGTATTGGCTTCCTCTTTCATTACCTTCTCTCTCCCTTATATTAGCCAGGAAAGAAGGAAAAAAAATGAACCAGACATACCTTTAGAAGAAAATTTAATTGGAAACATGGAAACTGATTTCACATAGAATTCGGAAGCAAATATTTTATAAAGAGTGTGTGTATGGAAGCTGGGGTTGTGGCTCAGTGGTAGAGTGCTTGCCTAGCACACATGAGGCACTGGGTTCAATCCCCAGTACCACATAAAAAAAAAAAAAAAACCAATAAACGTATCATGTCCATCTACATCTAAAGAATTGTATGTATGAAAGCTAGCAGAGATCTAGATTTTCACATTCTCTTGTACAGTTCCATTGCCTGTTTTGCTTGTGCTTAAAACTGTTGCGGCTGGGGATGTGGCTCAAGCGGTAGCACGCTCGCCTGGCATGCACAGGGGCCCTGGGTTCAGTCCTCAGCACCACATAAAAATAAAGACGTGCATCCACCTAAAACTAAAAAATAAATATTAAAAAATTCTCTCTCACAAAAAAAAAAAAAATGCTGCTCTAGATTATCTAACATGAAGGTAGTCAATATGTGTTTATAATCAAGGAGAAAAACCCCTTAAGAACTTCTGCCCTATTGGTCTAAGACTAGCTGTCCAGAAAATAGACCCCTAAGTTATATGTGATGCCTTGGGTTCAATCCCCAGCACTACAAAAATAGAAAATAAAAGAATAGACCCTAAGATGTTTTTGAGGACTCGAATGCTTATGATTTATTAAGGCAGTTTCCCAGGAAGAGGGAGAGCAGGGGCAAGCAAGAGGAGGAAGCCAAGTTTCCCTCCTCAGTCTTTACCATTGGACTATACTGTTTTGTCCAATTACAATTACAGCTAGCCAAGGATGGCTCCAGCTTGAATAAGTTAGGGAATTTCTGATACAAGGAGTCTGGAGCTTTCATACTCCCAACCCCTTGGTTATTGAATAGGGGTCAAGAATTTAATTCTCAGTCACTTCCTGATCTCTGCTGCAACACAAGTGGGGGAAGCATGGGTGCTAAAAGGGTCTGGGCAGAGCACTACCATTATTCATCATACCACCCACCTGGTTTTATTGACCCCTAACGAGGCCTGGATGAACTAGAAAAGGGAGATGGCATTGTTGAGGCTCAGAATATGATACCCCAAAGTATGGTGCTTTGGCTTGCTGAGTGATTTGGATTAAAGGAGATTGAAAGAACCTCAGAAGCAAGGTCTCTCTGCCCTCCTGTCTTCCAGTCTTCCACTCCTTTTTTTCCCTGAAAACAAGTCAGAGAACTCAGAATTCCTCTTCCCTGGGGTATAATAGCTACTAGAATGCCTCTCCCCCAAAGCAAATCATAAAACCTAGGAGGGTTACTCTCTCCCTTCTCCTTTCCCTTGAAGATCTTCATTCCAAAGGGTGTGTGAGGAGACAGAGGTAAAAGGAATGCTACATAGGACAAGAAATATCTGAACAGACCAGCCCTACCTGGTTCCCTCATTCTTTACCATTGGACCATACTGTTTTGTCCAATTACATTTCTACATGGCTGTCCATTCCTCATCAAAATTAAACATAAAAATAGGGAGACTTCTTGGTGTTTAAGGGTCTTCAATTTGAAGGCTTCCATGTCACTTGAAACTTTGATTAAATGTGACATTTTTATCTTGTTAACCTGTCTTTTGTTACAGGAGTATTGGGTATGGCCCTTGAAATGGGTAAGGAAAAGTACTATGGCTTTCTATCAGCTAGCATTGAACCTAGGTTTTGCCCATGATATGTGTATGCAAGATTTTCTACTCATGTTTTCTCTCTTACTTTGTTCTCTTAAGAATTAGCTTCCTTATTTCACTATAGTGCTAGGTTCATGGCACTACCTTCTTATTAAGGCTAGAAACTGCCTTAGTAATAATATTGTCTGACTTGATCTGGGAAGTTTCCAGAATAAATTTCTATTGCTCCCCCAACACTATTTGTTTATTCAACAGAGAGATTTACCTGTGTAAGGCACTGTGCTAGTCGTCCCATAGACACTGGTGAAGTCTAAACTTATTGAACATACATAAATTACAATAAATCTGTGTGTATGTGTGTGTGTGTGTGCGCGCGCACACACACGCATGGTACAGGGGATTGAACCCGGGGATGCTTTACCACTGAGCAACATCCCCAGTCCCTTAATTTTTTTTTTTTTTTTTTTTTTGAGACAGGGTCTAAGTTACTTAGGACCTTGCTAAATTGCTGAGGCTGGCCTCAAACTTGGGAGCCTCCTGCCTCAGCCTCCTGAATTGCTGGAGTTACAGATGTCACCACCATGCCCAGCAAATTACAATAAAATTTTTGGAAGAAAAAATATAAGAAAATAACAGGCAAGAATCAATTTAAAGAGAGATGGTTCTCTGAGTATGTCCAAAAAGTTAATATTTAAGGCAAAGATATGAAGGATACAAAGGGAGAGAAGTAAGGAGGATTTCCTTCCTCACCTCCTAAAGGGAATAATAAAGGGAAAATCCTTGAACCTGGAAAAATCTTCTCCTGTTCCATGAAAGAAAAGGCCAACAGGCCTGGAGCAAATGGGATAAAAGGCATGCTGGACCCCTCAGCCTGATACAGGCTAGGTTTCATTTAACCATAAAAAAGTAAGTCTAACATTCACATTTGAGTCCTTTATATATCCCTATAATAATAAATATCAAATAAAAATAAGAGATTATTTTAAAACTCTAGGGGTCTTTGATATTGCCAGTAGTGTTGATTAGTGGATAATTTGCTTCTTAAATACCTTCAAATGCAAATATTGGTAGAGTAACTCACACACAGTACCCCTAAGTAGATTAAAAAAAAAAAAAAAGATGATGAAGAAAAGTGCAAGTAAGTAAAGATACGAGTGATAATGAGTAAAACTAAATAAAATTACAATTCATAAGAAGGATTTTTAAAGCTGAAAGAAAATTTTGAGATTATCTTAGAAAAATACTTCTGTTTTTTTTTTTCCAGTAAATAATGTACCTAATGGCAAGGAACATTAGCTAAGTAGTTTTTGTTTGATTGTAAGAACAAAATGCCTACCTTCAACATATCCGGAAGTAAAAACAGGGCTGGGGTAAGTAGAAAAACTTAAGTTTAAAAATGGGTGTAAACCAGGAGCTCTTGCTGCATCTCTGCTCTGGCCACAGATCCTCTGAGGCAGAACTGAGCTTCAGCAATTTGTACCTCATCGGGGGAGAAATTTATAATAACTCTCAACTACATTGTTCAAAACACAGAATAAATTCTTGCACATTTGCGGTGGAGGGGGGCGATTCTATGTTGAACATGATCTTGAACCCCCAAGAGCTAGTGATTAACCCTGTTTTAATGTATTCATTGAAGTGAGAATATAGACCGCTGCCTTTAAACTCAACAATCAATATAAAAAATTTCAGAATTATCTTGAATTTAGAAAGGGGTTGAAAGTAAGATTAAAATGATTACATAGTACTTTCAAATGAAATTATGATTTGATTCTGAAAGTACACATAAATTCCCCTTCCCATCAAAACCCAATTCTCGGAAGTTTCTCTTTGCACCTATCTGCTCTTTTATAGATTAACTGCATACTAAAGTTAGCTAAAGAAATGCATAAAACTCTAGTTCCAAGTTACAGGAGAAGGTCACACGTGGAAGGGTGCTTTCCAGAAACAGTGACCACAACAAAAACCACAGAAGCCACTGTAATCAATACAGAAACCTTGACATTTATGTCTTAGATCCATGGGACTGCGACTCTTGCTGGCCTGAGTAACAAAATAAGATGTGCATAGTCCAAAAGAGGCTACTTTTCAAAACAATGGACAACTGAGACACCTACTTGTCTGGGATCCACGTAGATCCACTTGAAAAATCATATAAAAAATTCTCCCATAGGGCAAGAGATAAGAAGGCCACGAGAGCTAACCACCTTCTGACAACACCAGCCAACACTAGCGTATTGCAAACAAAGCTCTTTCCTCCTTTATCACTCTGCCACTTGATTCATTGACT